AGACTTGACCTCTTGATGGAGGAGCTGCAACGTCACATTGCAAAGGGCTGTGGCTACAGACGGGGACAGCCATTTTGGCTGTCTTCCACAGAAGACAAAGGAGTAGGCTTTGTGGATGTAGGGGGTGGTGAAAGGGTGAATGAAGAGTGGAGGAGGTGAGCGTGTGCCTGGCTGTAGAAGAACAGCGAGGTGGCTAGAGTGCTAGAACGGCTAAAATGAAGTAAGGAGAGAGTAGTAGATGACGACGGAGGAACAAGAACAAAATCAAGTAGTTTTCTTTCTTTCTTTCTTTTTAAAATTATAATAAAGACTTGTGCTTTCACTCTGAGAGAAATGAGGAACCCTTAGGAGGATTTCCCATGGCTGCCGTCAAGATTCTATCTTTGATTTTCAACAGTTTGACTGTGTGTCTATGTAGGTTTTATTTTTCTTGTTAATGCTATTTGTTCTGTTTTTTGGGTTTTATGCTGATTGGAGCTCTCTGAACTTTTTGGATTTATGGCTTGTCTTTCAATATTTTTAGAAAAATTTCTACTTTATTTCTACAAAGATTTCTCTGCCCTCTGATTTCTTTTTCCACTTGTATGGTACCTGACATCTTGCCCTCCTGTGTTTTACCACAGATAAGCCAGTGCTTGCATCTCATCTCTCTAAAGGGTCTGTCTTTCCTTGGATTTCAGGATACTTGGTTGCCCTGTGACCTCAGCTCTGATGGGTTCAAGAAAAGTTATGATTTTGTAGTTTATGCTCCCTTTTTTATTGTTAGGGTGGAAGTAACATTTTTTAAACTCTCGACTTCATGAGAAGATTTTGGGTAGAGACAGGACATAATTTTTACAAAAGCAGTCCGGTTGCTGTATTGAAAGTAGACTGAAGGGTCCCCAGGAGAAAGCAAAGAGACCAGCTAGGATGCATTTGCAGAATTCTAGAAGGGGGCTGGTTATACTTTGAACTGGAGTATAGAGAGGATAAGAGGAAGAGATTCTGGATAAATATTGAAGGCTGAACCATAGGATTTCCCAAGGATTCATTGTGATATGTGAGAGAAGAAAAAAGGTAAACATGATTCCAAGATTTTTGGCTTGAGCAACTGAAAGGCATGAGTTACTATTAACGGAGATAAAGTTTAGATGGACAGGTTTTTTTTTTAAGGTGTTGGGAAAACTCAGTTTTAGACATAGGAATCAAGTGGAAATGTCAACTAGGAAGTTGGTTATGTGGGTATGATATTCAAAGGAAAAGTTCTAGCTGGTGATACAAATTTTGCAGTTGTCAGCACATAGGTGGTATCTGACATCTCTTCCTCTGCTGCTCCTCCACAGGTAAGCCAGTGCTTGTGTTCCATCTTTCTTTAAAAGTTTTGGCTTTTCTTGGATTTCAGTTACTTGTTTGCCCTGCAACTTCAGCTCTCTGATGAGTTGAACAAAAGTTACAATTTTTAGAAAGTGTGTATATAGAGAATGTTTCTAACAAGGTCACTGTATGTAAGTACGTACCTTATTGCAAATGCTATGTTTACGTATAAAAATAGAATGTGTATTTCTAAAAAAAAAAAAAACCCAAAGGGTAAAGAAACCACTAACTTCTTTTTTAGATAGGAAGAGTAAGTAGTGATTGCTTATTTTAAGATTTTGGGTTTTTTGTTTATAGGAAAACCATCGCCGTGGTTATCAGTTGATACTGCCTTGTATATTCTTAAGGAAAATGAGAGTCAAGCAAATCTACAGCTCATGTGTTTTACTGAACTACGAAATAGAGAAGTATATATATTTATTTTCTAATGTCTAATTTAAAAATATAGTGTGAGCTCAAGTTCAGAGAAAATAATAGTTTTTCTATATTTTATTTTTTTTAACTTTTGTATCTCCCCTTGCAATTAAGGTATATGCAATACTTAAAAACTAGGCATATTATATATGTTTTATTAATTGTGAAGGAACTTTTCTTGTTTGCTGAGATTTAAGAATGGAGGATTGATTGGCAGTCTTAGCTTCTTAACTTATAAGTTGTGTGACATTATACTTTACTCTCCTCTTTTCTAAATGCCCTGATGCCTCACATGTGAACATTTTTTGTTGTACTCAGGAAAAAATGGTTGATACCAGTGGACTTTTTCCCTCTAAGTACAAGCAATTCAAGACTTTGAAAAGTTGTTTTAGATGTTTGTCTTACTTATATTACTACTGCAAAAAAGAAAAACTTCAAGATTACTATCCTCAGGCTTGACTCAGCATTAAAAAAGAGATTGATCTGAAGAAATGCTTTTGAATGGTTTTATATGTTGTCCATGGGTTTACTCTGATCTTTTGTAATTATGTATTTACTCAGAGGCCAAATATATGAAGCAGATACATAAATGTGGCTATTGGTTTTATGAGGACTACAAAATACATCTGCTACACAATAACAGGAATAATACTATTCAAGGGCTTACTGCAATATCATATTTAATCTTTATATAGGTCCAATGACAGACAAACATTTCCCTGATGGAATGTTATATAAAAGTCTTTATTGTAGGCTTCCTAACAGACAAGAATAGTTATAGGCAAGAAACAAATAAAATGACAAACTTAATGTTTTGACTAAACTCCTCTTCAGAGCTGACTACAAAGTTAAGTTCAAGATAAAGCATTGTCTAAAACAATAGCCTTTCCCATTTTGTTTTGGATAAAATTACTTTCTTATGAGATTACATGTGTAAAATCTTAGTACATAGTAAGCCTGTAATAAAGTTTGAATGAGTTTCTATTTACTTCTTTACTGTATAGGCTTCTGGTTATCTGTAATATGTCATATTTACAAAGGATTTTTTATTTTTAGTTTTAGTTTCACAATTATTTTCTTTAAGAAGACTTTTGTGCCCATGAAAGTCTTTCCCTTTATCATATGTGCAGATAAGGGAGGTTCAAGGGATAGCATATACTAGGAAGCAGCAAAAACTACTTTTAATTCCTGGGTGTCAGTCTACATCTGGCCAGTCTAAAAGGTTATGGCTTCTAGGGACGGCTGAGTGGCTCAGTTGGTTAAGAGCTCGCTCAAGAGTTTGAGCTCTGAGCAACAGCGGTTCGAGTCCCGGCCCAAGCTGAGCAGCCGCTGAGCNTTTTTTTGTTGCCTGTGATTTTGGTGTCATATTCAAGAAATCATTGCCAAATTAATGTCATGAAGCTTTTCCCCTATGTTTTCTTCTCAGAGTTTTATAGTTTTAGTACTTACATTTAGGTCTTTGATTTATTTTGTGTTAATTTTTATATATGATGTAAGATAAGGGTCCAAATTAATTATTTTGTATATGGATATCCAGTTTTTCCAGTCCCATTTGTTGAAATGACTGTCCTTTCCCTATTGGATAGTCTTCGTACCCTGGTTGAAAATCATTTGGCCAAAAATGTGCGAGTTTATTTCTGGGTTTTCTATTCTGTTGGTTTATATATTTGTCTTTATGCCAGCACCACACTGTTTTGATTACTGTAGCTTTGTAGTAGGTATTGAAATCAGGATATGTGAGTCCTCCAACTTTGTACCACTTTTTCAATAGCAAAATGTTTTGGATATAACATTAAATGAAAAAGGCAGAGCATAAAATAATATTAATTAGAATGTGAAAAATCGTTTTTTATATAAGGCCAACATTAGGAAACATTACATAAAAATCAAACTAGGTTGCTAGAACTGTGAGGATTTTTTTCCTATTTTTAAATTTCTAACTTTAAATGTATTTGGTGCTATGAAAATAATATAATATGAAAATAATTATGATTTATGTAATAGAAAAATGATGTGTAAGTACATGTTATGATAATTTAGGCTTTAAAAGTGTGAATGAGAAACTGATCTTAATGTAAATTATGTTCTTGTCTTTTCAGTGCTATATAAATCTTTCTATAATGGATTAATAATATTTTTGATATTATTGTTATGCAGCAATGCGTACCTTTTCAGTAGTTATCTTAATTTTATCAAAGCTTGAACTTATTATTTAAATATCCTTACAGATAATTTTTCAGAATCATTCTTTGTAAAGTAACTTTATTTTTGGAAGTCATTAGGAGTAGAATAGAAATATATCTTACAGTATAGGTAAGCAAGCCTACTAATGATAAAGTGAAAAACATTTTTGTACACATCTATGGTAATGGCACAATTTCTGATAACGTCAATAGAGAATTCTTTACTTTCTTCATAAGTTACCATCTTTAAGTTGTGCCTAATTCAAATTATAAGATCCCAGATAGACATAGTTGTTTGGACTAGGAGAAGGGATTTGGCTAGACCAAGAGAGAGTAGAGCCAATCTTATAGAAAGGTCTTTCTCAAAACTGATGTTTATCATCATTTTGCTATAGCTGTGAAACTCATTCATTTCATTTAGTTACCTAGACTTGAAACAATTATGGTTGACATATACTTTGTGTTTTAAATACAAAGTCCTATCTCTTTTTCTTTGAACATATCAGTTTTAGCAGTCCTTACTTCTTCATTCTTACTATGCTCCAAGCACTAAGCTCACCGTGACTATTGCAGCAGCATATTTATTTATCACTTTCCTTCAATACTTCTTCCACGCTTATGAACTTTATTTTTTTTTTATTTCTTCATTATGTTTTTTTCTAAAGTTTCATTATCTAAATTCTGCTGATTCTTCAAGATACAGTGCATGGATTACCCTCTCAGTTTATATTGATCCTCCCCCCCCACACACCTATGTCAGACAAACATTTATTGAACACCTACACAATGTGCCAGGCACTATTTTAGGAACTGGAATTGTAATATTATTTTACATACATAATTCTTTTTTTGTTCTAATATACTACTATCAGTTATAATTGAATTATGTCATGTCTATTTTTTTACCTCTCAATAACGTTGCAAATTCTTGGAGAGCAATGGCTCTATTTGACATTTCTTTAATATCCTCCTCAGGTTTCTCTTCATTGCTATGCATGCTGGAAACATTTAATAAACATTGTTTGAAAAAAATTTTTTCCTTTATTTCAGGAATGGCAATGTGTGCAATCAAAAGGTTGCTTTTTCTTAGAAGAAGATGGTGAAATCATTAGTCATCAATACAGGATGCAAATTCCTCAGAGATCAATGGTTTATTTAACAATTAAGCCATTAAACCTGAGTCAAGTTGAAGGCAAGTTTAAATTTTGTTTATTTTTAAAGATATCAATTTATGCCTTCTTTGTAAATACTGATGTATTTGATAGTCCTATTTAGTGAAGAAAATAATCTGCTTAAGAAATGTGGTTACGTAC